GTGTTCTAAAAGCCTTCTATGGACAGGTGTTGTAAATTAGCATGGTTTTGCTATCACACTAAAGGCAGTGCATCTGGTCTGTCCAATGCAACTGTTGTGTCCATATCAGATAAAAAAATAAAAAAATAAAATTTCTAGTCAATTCCATCACTATTTGAAAACACATGATAACTTGACTACTTTTAGGGTTTAGGGACGTTTTCCCACAATATTTAAACAAATGCGTCTGGAAAAAAATCACTGACTGCATCTTTACCTCTTTTAACACTTATTAGCACGGTGGCACTTTTTATGCTTTTGTCTTTTTTATGATTGTATGCATGTTTTTATGGATTATATGTGATTTTATTGTAAAGCAAATATGGTCGTCTTGTGTGTTGTAAAGCGCTCTATGAATAAACAACGGTTTGAAATTGAGTGAACAGAGGAGCCAGAAACCTCTATTCATTAGGGAATAATTACACAGATTCAACTTTTGCTTGATAACTCTCATTTTTGCTGCACATTCACAAAGCAGAAGTGGTCCAAAAGTCAAATTTAAAACAATTCAAATGCCATTTAGGGAACACGAAGTCCCACCACAGCAGTAAACAGACACAGATTTGATGCTAAAAATGTCTATAACGTCTTATTGCTCCCTCCAGACGCTTTCTTTTTGTAATGATCTCTGTGGGCAACCAGATGTTTACAGCAGTCTGCACTTTCACTGGAGCTGTGGCAAAGAGCTAACCACCGAAAAATGGCAATCTCAAGTTTTCTCTTGAGTGCGTTAAAATGGAGAGAGTTCAGTCATGGGAGTAATATATGAAAGGTTGAAAAGACCAGGTTTTTTATCATTGGGTTTTGGAGTTTTTTTCTTGCCAATGCAGGAGGGTCTTTTGGATTGGACATTGGTCATCTGCCCCTTATGGACCAATGGCTCATTGCATTTCTTGTGTTTAAACTGTTTGATTCTCTGATCTGTTTTGGCAAATTCAAAATTTTTGTAAAGTCCTCCGAGAAAGCTGCTGTTGTGATTTAGGGCTATTCCAGAATAAATTGAATTGAAAGAGAAATAACTCAGAGACAGAAAGAATGTGTCTGCACCTATGACCAGCCAGGCTTTTCTACGCCCTGTTCACATGTGTAAATATTGATTATAAAATATGATTCAGACCAGTCTCCTCAACCATGTTTGGCAGAAAATATTAGTTATTCAAAAGTTAAGTTGATATTTCTTAATACTATAGACCTATACTTACATGTGAAAGCCAGATCCCGTTAGACCTCTAAAGCTAAACAGAACAGGGCCTGGTTAGTGCTGTGATGGGAGACCTCAGGGAACATCAGGAGCCACAGTGGGGCGACTGCGGCTGTAAAGTGCTTAACTGTTGCTGTGTCCACAAGCAAGACACTTCACTCACACTCGCCTAAAATGTGTCTGGTGTGTATGTGTGTGAATGGCTGGTGGTGGTTGGAAGGATAATGGTTGGCTACCTTCTATCAATGTGCCCTAGGGCGTTTGTGGCTCTGACAGTGGTTTATCACCATCGTGTATGGAGTGAAAGAAAAATGACATGGGAAGTGTTTTTGAGTGTCTAAAAAAGCGCTATATAAAACAGATGCATTATTATTAATACCTCCCATAGCCATCATTTTGACTGCTCTCATTCAAACCAATCGGATTCGGAGAAATTGCCCCAACATTATTTATTATTTTGACAGATGTATAATTTTTTTTTTTTTAACCTTTACTCACTATTACTAAGTGCTAAAACTGATTGATATAACTTGAAAAACAAGGCTTTTTGTCAAATTTAGCTAGCTAGTGATTTAACATTGAGCATAAAAAAATCACGAGCCTTTCATTCTTATTTGTCAATGGGAGCCTTAAAATACATTCAAGTGGGAAGAAGCATTTCCTCGTTTAACTTTCGAGTCATTGTCATCAAGAGAAAGTTTGGTGACAGCGTTCTGAGTCAAATCTTACGTCCAGACCGACCAGAGTGAGCAACTGTAGGACCGATATTTCTCATATTATCCCTTCAGAAACTCTACAGACTTCGTATCAACCCAGTAATTGAAAAGAAGACCCAAGAAACACAATGTAATTAAAAACACTAGTTTAATAATCAAAATAAGTAGCTGTGCGCCCGGCTTCCACCTGTCGATCACAAAGAGAAGCGATGGCAGAGGTTTGCGAATGTGTTTTGTCGTCTCTACATCACAGCATGAGATTTTCACTGATTGTTTTGACAAGTTAAAGTAAAGCATCGAATCCAGCAGCAAGTCCAGCTCAACATAACACATGCGCTAAAGCAGTGGTTCCCAACCTTTTTTCCCATGTGCACTGTACGCTCTTGTTAGCATAGATAACGCAAGAGTCCATCTTTTGTTAAGGAAAGGAAAGCTTGTTTATAACTATTTTTTTGCATATTTTTTGTCACATTCTGCTTGTATTTCGACCAAATTATCACTTTAATTTAACTCGACTCCTGAACACATATAACTGGAGAAACGCTTTTTACACCAAATTGTAAAGCGCTTCGAGTGACCTGGCTCTGTGAAATGTGCTACATTAAAAAAGATTAATTACTTATACGCTTGGACCAAACGTAAGGAAGACTCATCATTGAAGACTGATGGAATATTTCTATTGTTAATTGCGTCTGGGTTCAAAGTTCATAAAAATAAATTATACAGCTGTTTTCCTATGTTAACTAGCTTTGAAATGATGTATAACATGCCATAGCAGCCCATACAACCCTCTTACTATCAATGTTTGCACTCCTTGTAATACCTTCACGTGCCCCTAGGGGTCCGTATACCCCCGGTTGGGAAACACTGCGACAAAAGACCATTCTGTAACTTTTCTGATGGACGATTCGCCGCCTGCTTGGTCCCAAATCCAGCATTTATTCAACTATATGCAAGTATTATAGCAATATGAGCTGGGTCACCTTATTCCTAAAGTATTGTAATTTATGACATACAGTGGGACAATTCTTGGTTAAAGGAGGCAAATAGTGGATCAAAAAAGTTACACATTGTACCTTTAATGCAGTGGTAGTCAACCCATCGTCACTCGAGCAGATTTAGAAATGATCCATGTTTTAATAAATCCAGTTCGATTCATTGCACTATATTAAAAGAATTGATATGTATGTTATATGATTGTATTGTCAAGGACCACAGATGGAAAGTTGCAGGTGCGGCCATCTTTTTAATGTAACTGCACATTGTCCTTAATAAATGAAACTCTAAAAACATTTTAATATCATGACTGTAAATGCATAGATCTGGATGTACCTGTAATACATGGACAATTGTTTTATATTTTCTATTATTGTGACATTGATCCACTTCCTTACATATATAGGACTGGACAAAGAAATCTGTTCATATTTTCCAGAAAACACACTTTTTGTTGTTGTCAAATAAAAGGTATATAGAATTTCCCCATATTTTATTAAAGAACCGCCCTCTTCACTTTTGGACGAGCACGTATCACCAGAATAATTGACAATTGGGAGGACCAATAGTGTTGATGATCCACCCGGAAGTAGAAAATCCTCCAATATACCTTTAAGCTCTGCCAATATAAGCATGTTTTACCTAGTTTAAAACACTTGAATGAACTAAATCATATTAGTCCACACGTTAGTTATGAGGTAATGAGTAATCAAGCAGTCATCATTCAGCCGACACCCAAAATAATACATTCTTGTCATGTAGAAAAAGACATCATGATATCAGATGGTTTAAAAGTTGGTAATCGTCAGAGCAAAATCCCCTCAAAATTGGTTTCATAAAAATCTAAAATCGGTCGTTCCCTATTGTTGATGCTCTCACAAAAGCCATTCATAGATAAGTTTTCACATTATAATCGCCCAGCTCTTCTTTCTGTGGCTGCTTTTAGGATACGAGTGTTTTAAAAAAGTCCATTTTGGTTTGAATACCACTGCTTTAACGCCTTCACAAGTGGAGAAAAACTCTGAGAAAACCTGAATACTCACAGCAATAATGAAATGTTATAGTTTTTTATCTGAACAGCATTGTTAAAGGAACTGTATGTAGTTTAGGCTCTCACTCTAGAGTTAAAAATCTTTCTGCAAATACAGTACATCTACAGCCTTGTATTGTCTTTCACTTTGAGCAAATAAACGACCACATATCACCGATTCAGAAAAGAGAATTGGAGAACAACAACAAAGAAAGTAAAAACCGTAGCTTGGTGGCCGTGGGGAGCAAAGAAAATATAAATTACTCATACATGCATGGACTGCTCTAAAACAGCGTTGGAGTGAGTATATGAAAGGGAAAACTTTCCCTATGGAGGTTAAAATCTGTGAAAAGTTGATTTTGCTTGTTATGTTTTGCCTCTTTTGAGCATGTTTTGCAGGTGCTGAGGTTTAGGTAGAGACCAAACAAGCTGGTTTTCACCAAAGAAACTGGCAACCCCCAATAAGCGTTCTCTCCTGCTTGAGAAATGTTAGCATACAAAATCTAACTGACCCATCCAGCGTTTGTGAAATCCAGAATAAATCCGTGCTAAGAATGTGATCAGATAAGATTTGATTGGATTGGATCGCTAACCAGGAAGTGGATATTTAATTTATTCTTAAAAACCTTACATACGGTTCCTTTAAACTGAAAATGAACTGGTACAACCCTGTAGCCTCTAAAAGCTGCGTAAACAGAAACTAAAGCGTTCGTCTCTCCAGGTTCCTCGTTAAAGAAACTCCTCAAGCCGATACACACAGTTCTCCTTTTGTAGTTTGGTTTCCATAGGAACAGTTAAAAAGACTTGAAAAAGGTCAATTTGTAAAATCAAAAACAAAGAAAAAGGCTGTTATTTTTGTTTTTTTTCTCAAGTCAAGAGTCCTCCAGCAGACAGCCTGTTAATCCCCCCATAGTGGACCGTGGGCCGTGTTCCAGCATTTTCAAAAACCAACCAGGAAGAAAATAACTTGTCAAAATTGATATTTTGCAGCCATAACTGTCCCGGCTGTAGTTTTTGGTCAGTTTTCGACCGGGGTGGGCTCTGGGGGCGCCACTTCGGCCTCGGGGGTCCGGCTCTCCACCAGCACGGGCGAGGGCGGGGCAGGCGGCTGGCTCAGGATCACCTGGACCACATAGTCTCTGGAGATGTTGAGCTGGTCCAGGCGCAGTCTGTCCGTTAGCGGCCGCCCGGAGAAGAACCAGCGCTGGGTGTTGGCGACGACTCCCTCCTGGGTCTGCAGCCTCCTCTTCATCATCCCCACGGTGTCCGAGGAGCGCACCGTCAGACGCAGGTCGCGGCCCGTCGACAGCCGCAGCCGCAGTTGGGATTCTCCTCCGACAACTGAAACAGAAAAAAATAACAGGATAAGATAGTTTCTTTGAGGCCTGGTGCGATGAAATGGACCCATCACAATGATTAAAAAAATACTTAAAATTTTGATGAACCCTTTTAGACATTAAAGGAGCTCTATGTAAAAATCTGGCCACAAGTGGTACTGCAGCCTCTCCCACTCTCCCTGACTCAGGTTGCCAGATATACAGATGAATCCAGCTGGGACCATAAAATCTGAATAGACAAGAGTTTTGTCCATTTAATGTGTTTTTCTTTTCACCGTAATTGCAGCTCAGACCAAACTAAAGTCTGTGTGACATCCATACCTGCGGCCGTGGGATCAGCTCCTCCCCCGCCTACCCCCGTCGTGGCGTTGGGGTCGACCGCGCTGCAGTCCGGGTCAGAACCGTCGGGTTCGTCGGACCGCTCCTCGATCATGTTCACCGGAGGAGACAGGCAGTACACGGGCAGCTGGTACCGGTTCCCCAACTCATCGTAGCATTCTGTGAGGGCTCCTGGGGACAGAGGTCAGAGCAGTGAAGGACTGAAAATGTGACACAGGCTTCTACTTTGACAATTCACAAATACAGGTTACATAAAAGTCTTGTTATAGTATGTATAATTGTTTTGAAATATCGGTTTTATGAAGCGCTTTTTAGACACTTCACAGTAAGTAAGTAAGTAATCTTTATTTATCGCCTTTCACAGAGTCACAAAGCGGTTTACAATTGTGGGCATTTGTCCTCTCACTCCACACAGAGATGGGAGCGGGGTTGCCAGTAAAGGAGGCCCATGCCAGAACTATTGTACATGATTTTAATGGTAGTGGAAACCGGAGCACCCGGAGGAAACCTACGCAGACATGCAAACTCCACTCAGAAAGGCCCTGTTCCGATCAGGATTCGAAACCCAGGACCTTCTTGCTGAGAACCACTCACTCCATACACAGTGATTATAAACTACTATTGTGGCCACAGCTGCCCTGGGACACACTGACAGAGGCGAGGCAACCAGTATGTACCATTGACCCCTCCGCCCACCATCAACCATTGACACATTCACCAGACTCATTCGAGGCAATGTGGGTAAAGTGTCTATAGCCATAACTACCCCACTCTAGAACCTAGTGATCCCAGAGGTCTCTCATCACAGCACTAACCAGGCCCCGCCCAGCTTAGCTTCAGATCTCTGACTTGATCTGGCTTTCACATGCAGGTATGGCCACAAATGCACTTTGAACGGCAATGTGCATGACTCGTAGCCCGAGGCATCAGATGGAGCATGAAGAGAAATAAAACCGTCACAATGTTATGATTTGTTGGCTCCACTTTTGGCAGTTGGGACTTTTTAGCTTTTAACAATTGTTGCCGTTTGGTCGTGATGTATGAAGGAAGCAGGGCAATTACGTCTTTCCCGTGGATAAAATTCTCCGAACATTCTCTTTGTTCAGAGGCAACAGGGGTTTCCATGGAAATATAACTCTGAGCTCAAACTCAACGCACACTGGATTTCACTCGGCCTTGTAAAAACAATTACACACAAGTAGATCCGGAGACTTTTACTGACAAGGCTACAGTTTTTTGAGGAAAATGCACAAAGAAAGAAACTATGTATAACTTTTACTGCTTTGTTGAACGAACTTTGCATTAGATACGTACAGTATATGTCTGTACAGTCCGTATGTGTTACATCAGTTTGCATTGTCCCTGCCAAATATATGAATACATCATTTTCTTCTCTTCCATCTTAAAAGGTACAATTTTACCGCTATCTCCACTTTTTGAACAAATCTCTCAGGTCTTATTTGACGAGCACGTATCACCAGAATGATTGACAATTGGGAGGACCAATAGTCTTGATGATCCACCGGGAAGTAGAAAATCCTTTAAGTGTGCTATTGTGGAAAAAACCCCATATAATGATACAGTCCTACATTAGTGGCAGTGAGTGCATACCTCCAGAGGTCTCGGCTCTCTCCAAGCAAATATTAGACGCCTGGAAGGATTAAGAATAAAATAAAGGTTCCCGCACACTGTAGCCTGGTCGTACCATACCATAGTACAAATTACATTTCGTACACAATCTTGACCAGCGATTACATTTGCTAAACATTCCTCTTGCTCCGGCTTCAATTTCTTGATAGAACCAGACCGTATTACTTTACTATCGCATTCTTCGCCATTGCCAAACTACAACCTGCCCGTTCGGCGCAAACTAACTACAACACCCTGCTCCCGCGCTCGCTGATTGGTCGGATGGATTTTAACCGATTGTAATCACAAACACAGGGACCAGACCCAGACGTTACATGCAGGGAAATGATGATTGAGCGGAGTGTACGGATGGATAAGGCCAGGCTACGCACACAGCTGTCCTTGCAAAAAATAACTGTATTGGAAAAAGCTAAGTTTCGATCCTGAGACCTTCATCAGGCAAATGGATTAAGAACTAAAATGACAAATTGCATTACATGGAAACAACGCAAATCAATATTTACATGAAATCATACAGGTCGGGAGGGGAGGGAGGTTAGGATTGAATACATTTTGTGGTGTTGTGTGACGGCAGTTTGAGTGTGTGTTGATGGATCAGAGCTTGACTTGGGGCTTAATGACTAAAAATCCAGAATTAACGAAAGAGAAACTGCTTAGAGACAGGCAGATTTGAGGACTCGCTCTCAAACATTCAGTTTTTAATGACGAAGGCTTTGAGACTCAGCTCTCTTGTGTTTTGGCTGAAAGCAGAAAGCGAGAATCTCATATCATCTTTTGAGTCCCACAAAACCAGCTTATGTCACGAGTTTCACTTAGAGAAATGAAAGAGAGAGGGTTTGTTGGTAAAACAGGAGCAGAGCCAGGATAAAAAGGAAGGGGATAAGAGGTGAAAACTCAGAGCAGAGATATAGAAACTGAGAAAAACAGAAGTTAAAGGGGGGACCCGGAAACTAACAGTTGGTTTCTTTACAAGGACCAATTTTCACATTGAACAAAAGAGCAATAAAAATATGTGCTTTTCAATGGTGCTATGGTTTTTACTCAGCCTCCTAAAGCAATTACACACAGGTAGATTTTATTCACATTTACATAAACAGGAGATGTATCTACGAGCAGCAGGGCTTTAAGGCTTATTGCATTTGAAGCTAATTTCTGGAGGTGAAGACGTGGATTAGTATTTTGTTAATATGGTTCAATCAAACAATAATTTATTTGTATTACACAATTTGTGTAAAAGGCAATTCAAAGTACTTCACAAAAGCAATTTAAAAACGCAGGTAAAAATGCAAACGTTGGTTTAAAAACGGAGATAAATGCAATAAATAGTACAAAATAGAATCAGTTGTATGCGCAGCTAAAAAGATGTGTTTTCAGCCCAGTTTTGAACATTGTCTGGGAAGAGGCCTGTCTCACAAACTCAGGCAGAAGTGTAATCTCCAGCCTAAACCCTTTTATGTTTGGGAAATTGTTCTTGCTTTTTGTTGTTGTTGACAAATGACTGGAGAAAAATAAATAAAACTATGTAGTAATAATTAAATAAAAAAACGTTGAGTAAATAGAAAGAACAGTAACAAAAACACAATATGGAAACTTGAAGGTAGGCTCCGTCACATTATTATACTTTTTAGGAGCGGAAAACAAAGTGAAAAAAACCCATGAAAACTTGCTTTTATATTATCCTATTGTTGCTAAAACATTGTACTTTATATTTAGAGCTTTAAGGTTAACATAGTTTCATATTTGGAACGACAAAGCAGTAGATCAACATGAGGAATCCCCTGCTCTGTAGAGAGTCAGAGGCCACTGCTCCTGAACACAGAGGTCAGAGACCTTTAAGATCAAAACCACCATTTCCCTGTTTCTGCCGAAGAGAACTGTTCCAGAGACGAATCAAAGTTTATCACGTCTCATCCACTTTTAGAGTTTGAATCTATCCTCCAAGATAACTACTGTAGTGATTTATGGCTATAAAAGAATACATTGAATTGAATCAAGACAGAGACTAAATAAAGTATACCTGCGACTAAATATTAGACATAAATAATTAGTACTTGTTACTAAATATTAGACATAAATAATTAGTATTTGTTACTAAATATTATACATGAATAGGAAATATTACAAATGTGCAATGGGACGTATCATGCATGACGTTTGTGGATTTTATTGCATTATACTTAATCCAATAACATGTTATTTATTTGACTTAAATCCCATCTCAGTGTCAATTACAACACTGCTAGATTGTCTCCAGGAAGTAAAAACTTGGCTGGCCCAACATTTTTTAATTCTCAACGAGAGTAAAACTGAAATTGTTGTGTTTAGCTCCAGCCTCGCTGTGGAGCTCACTGATGCACTTGGTGCACTCTCTGCTCATGTCCATTCCTCTGCTAGAAACTTAGGAGTTATTTTTGATAGCTCCTTCAGGATGGACAAGCAAATTAATTCAGTAATCAAAGCCAGCTTTTATCAGCTCCGGGTCTTGAGCAAAGTGAAGGCTTACATCCCACTGACTGACTTTGAGCGAGTTATCAACCTTTTTATTTCATCTAGATTAGATTACTGCAACTCGTTGTATTGTGGTCTAGACCTCGGCTCTTTAAAGCGCCTTCAGCAGGTGCAGAATGCTGCTGCTCGCTTACTCACAGGGACACGTAAGCGAGAGCACATCACCCCTGTGCTGGCCCCTGTGCTGGCCCCTGTGCTGGCCTCACTTCACTGGCTCTCTGTTACATTCAGGGTTGATTTTCTGATGCTTGTTTTTAAGTGTTTGAATGGTTTGGCCCCTGTATATCTGTCAGAGCTGTTATCTGTGTCTGCTCCTGTCAGATCAGTGAGGTCTGAAAAACCAGCTGTTGTTGAACGTGCCCCGGTCTCGTCTCAAAACTCGAGGAGACCGAGCCTTTTCTGTTGCTGCCCCCAAACTGTGGAATAGTGACCTCTGTTCATTAGAGCCGCTCCTTCAAGTTGGACGTTTTTTTAAGTCTAGTTTAAAGACAAATTTTTACACCTTGGCTTTTAATACCAATTGAGTTTTACCATTTTAGTTTTACGGATGTATGTATTTCCTCTGTGAAGCACTTTGAGCAGCTGGTGTTGTTGTATATGTGCTATACAAATAAAGTTGACATGGACATTGTGATATTTGCTGTAATATCACTTAAGAATAATGTTTGTTTCATTGACTTCTTTTGAATCAACAAATGTGTAACTTTTGGGCTGAGAAACAGATAAAAGATCCTCTTATGTTTTATATAGGTTTTAGTTTTTAGTTTTGTTCGTCCTTGAGAAAAAAAAAAAAAGATTTGTGGTAATTTATACACCTATATCTTTCAATGTATACATACTGTTACTTGCATGTGTCATATGAAAAACAAATAAAGTAAAAATAATCTATGTTCAATAAATAATGTTTCAAATGTATAAAAAATGTGTTAAAATATTATGAAGAAATTGCAAAAAATAAGCACAGCCCTAACCCTAACCCTAAGGACTAACCCCATTGGGTTTTGTCAGGTTAG